TAATGTCAATATGTAACTGTATTTCTATACATAAAACAAAATGATTTTTAAAATAATAAAGAAAAGAAGAAACATATGAGCACAGTTTACTAATCCTTAGGTGTAGCTCATACCTTTGAATATTCACAGCCACAGTAGGATCTTGAAGTGTGTCTCTTTTTCTTAATGCTCACTCTCAATTTTGACTGTATACCTATTGTTTAATAAACTCTGACTATATTCCATACTGACTCATCCTGAAATTTGTTTCTGTGATCTGAGTTAAGATCCTACTACATGTCAGCGGAGTCTCTGGCAGGAACTCCTTAGGCTGCATAGATCACAACAACTAGCTTTATTTTATACCACCCCTGATATCCTTCTAGGGGGAGGGCTTCATCTGAGATCATTTGAAGCACTGCATTTTTCCTTGATCACCACTTTCCCTAAAGCATTTTCTATATTGCATTCTTATGTCAAATGGAATCATCATGGATACTTAAGGAAACATCATGGTAAGGAATGATGCACCAAGACTCTAAGTCACTCTGATGCTCGCAAGAGAGCTACCCAAGAGCTGGTTGAGATAAGTCAATTGTGGATTAAATGACACAGAGAAGGTAACCTAAGTAAGCCACACATGCTGCATTCTAAACACATTTAGATGATCAATGATTTAGTTCATTTAAAAGTTTCAAAAGTCCATGTCTTCTTCCCATCCTTCCTCCCTATCCTTACACACTAAGTGCCTGTGCAAAGCTCAGAGTCCCATGAAGACAGAGTCTTCCCAGCACTGTGTCTAGAAACCTCTTTGCAAAATTACACTGGAAGCCTCAGTGTTTTCTTTTAAACTCTGACTTTTACTATTATTTTGAATTTATATTCACATGACTGTTTTATTAACCCCCTTCCATTTTATTCATTTCTTTAATATTTCTTATAACTATATCCTAGGAAAAAAATTCCCTATGTCATAATGTTCTTCTAAAAAAATTTTTGATTTGGGTGTAGTGGTGCACTTTTAATACCAGCGTTTGGAAGGCAGAAGCAGGTGAATCTCTGTGTTTTTGAGACCATCCTGGTCTACATAGTGAGTTCCAGGTCACTGAAGTCTATGTAGTGAGATCCTGTCTCAAAAGAAAAGTTTTAAATAAAGGGGCTGGAGAGATGACTTAGCAATTAAGAGTACTTGCTGTTTTTATAGAGAATCTAAGTTGGGTTTCCAGCATCTAAATGGTAGCTCACAACCATCAATAGCTCCAGTCCAAACCTAAATGAAATTGCACCATATGGAGTGATAATGCTCCCCGTGAGAGTCATGCATTATCTAACACAAACCCAAGAACAGGTATGGGAAATCTCCCTTTAAGTTGTAGGTCAGGGGAGTCCAAGAGACTTCCCAAACAATATAAGCTATCGCCAATATAAATACAAACAATATAACAATATTTACATTGTCTTTGGTTGTTGCCCAGAACTTGAAGGTAAGACCCTATTGCTGAATACACCACAGGACTTGGAGGAATTGATTTGGAAGTGACCTAGGAGCTTCCTCCCTGAGAATTAGCTCTCATGGTATCAGAACATGTTATGTCAACTGATGAAGGAGAAAAGCAAACAGTAGTCCTCTCCAACTGTAAAGTCTATGAATTGCAGCAATGACTGGCCTGGCAAAATCTCTCCAATGGTGCAGTAGTGGTTGTTTTTTCTTGTGGATAACCAACAGCTGTCTAATTGGAGTTTAGGCTCACTCAATATGAGGGACTTCATGCTTGGTGTAAACCTAGAGAGGTTATAGACCCTAGTGGAGAACCTACTACTGCTGCTTTCCTAAAAAAAAAAAAAAAAAAAAAAAAAAAAAAAAAAAAAAAAAAAAATGTATTTCTGACTGTATTCTAAATACTTATCCTTATACCTACAGTTAAATGTAGCTCTCATCCACCATTAAAAAACTTCTTGTAACACACATTACAGGAACCCACAACTGGTCAAAATTCAGAGAATAGGTGATTGTTGAATGTCAAGTTGATACATCTACAACACAACCCCTAAATCTAAGGTGCAGGGGAAATGTGGAAGGGTGGTGGTGGAAAGATTGTAAGAGACAGAGGACCAGGGTGTGTGCTGCTAGACATGGTCTTCTAGGCATGACAGGGAAGCTGTACCCATGAAATCTCAACAATATGATTGCCTAAACAAGATCTACATGATGACAACAGCAATTGACATGCCAATATGGGTGGGATGGATTTCACAAGGCTCCACCTAAGTAAAGAGCTACAGGCAATCAATGGCTGCTGAGAGAGGGAGGATCAGTTTTCTCTAGGGACGAGACCCCTGATAGGTTATCTAATTCCAAGTGGTCAGCCCTAAACACACGTACATGTGAGCAGCACCAAATGGATTCAGTAGGATGCCTGCGCGCGCGCGCGCGCGCGCACACACACACACACACACACACACACACACCATGAATTTAAGAGGGTGTGAGTGCCATGAGAGGAGCTGGAGCAGGGAGGGTAGGGACAGAAATGATGTAAATGCACCCCTAGTATTCATGTGTGAAACTGTCAGAAACAAAAAGAAATTAATTAAAAAATAAATCTCTAGAAATTGTATAGTGTATATTAATTATAGACAAAAATAGCTTTCATTAGGACATTTAATGCTTGTAAAATTTTCTTATTTTATTCTACTCCCATTGCTTACTTCTACTGATCACCTTCTTCCCAACTTCTATTTTCTGTCTCTTTTATTTCTTTGTGATCCAATGAATTTCATTAGATATATTTTCAGGAATGTGGGTGAGTAGTTATTTACAGGAGCAACTTATCACTGGCTATATCACTAAAAAAAAATGCCTCTTCCTAGCCCCATGAACACTAACAACCTCAGCAAGGGGTGGGACCTTGTGAGGCCCTCCCCTGTCCATGTTGATGGACCCAGTCTTGTGGAGATCTTCTCACAGCTGCTGTGAGTGTTTTTCCACTTCTGGTTCTTACATTCTTTCCAACCCTTCTTCCACAATGGTCCTAAGCTTGGGATAGTATAATATAGATGTCTCATTTATGGCTAAGCATCCAACAATCATTTATTTTCAGTATTCTGACCAGTTATGAGCCTCTGTAGTCATTATTGACCATTGCTTCTCCTATCAATACATAGATATACACAAGCATAGTTATAAAAAGTAATTTGATGGGCATAGCATGTGTATTTATCAAAACAAGATGATAGCTTACTCAGTAGGGTTTCTGACCTCCTCAGCCTCTGACTTTTGGACAGGTTTTGCAGTACCAGATATGAATTACCTCTTGTGGAATATACATCAAATCCAATCAGGAGGTGACTAGCTACCCCAAGATTGGTTACCCATGCCACTATAGCACTAGTGGGTACATCTTGCCTGGCAGGTTGATAATGTGACACACAGGATCCATAGTTGAGTATTACCATTAACAGTTCTCTCCCTCAGCAGCCTTCAAAAAAACTTCCATCGTTCCAAAAACTAGACAAATGTGTGCCCTTCTTACTGGCAACATTTACAATGTAAGAAAATTCATCCTCTTTCCAACTGATTCCATCTTTTTAAAGGTACATTATTTTCTGTGCATTTAAAGTCGTGGCACCAAAAATGCCTCAAGATAAGATTTATTCTCTAACATTATTCCTGCTTATGATACTAACAGGACATCCACACAATATCTTTTGTGACAGTCTCTTCAAAGGTCTCACAAACAGTAGGATCTCAGTTTGAAACATATAAACAGACTCTACAGGTCTTCATTTCACAAAGGGTTCAGACACAGCCACTGTGTGGCGCTAGCCATCACTTTAAGCCTATTCTCAAGAGACACCCTGTGGCTCATATACTCACTAGATTTCCAGGAACACCTCCAAGAAAATTAAGCACCTAAGGCAAATTCCCAGTAGATGACAGTAAAGGGATGGCCAGCGACATTTAGTCCAGGAACTCTTTCTTGGATTCTTTTGGAACATTTCCTTTAACTTCTTTCTTTTAAATACACAAGTAGGTACAAGGGCAACAGTAAGATGACTATGGAAAACTAGTCTTCTACTCATGAGAACTCATCTTTAGTTTTCATTTCATGTAACTGGACAACTTTAAAGCAGTTGCCTCAGGAAAGAATAATGCTTTTCTACAGTGTAAGCTGGTAATGAGGTAAAGGAGAAAGTAGGGGAAATTAGCCTCAAAATGGAACTGTAAACTGCAATACAATTTTCCACTTAAGATTTGTTCTGTAAAATGGAAAGTAAATGGTCTGACATTTTTCTTTAGTAGAAATAAACTCCTGAGCATAGTCTATGTCTAAGCCCCGCTTAGGTACCTCTCCTATGCTGTTCCCTAAATTTCAATTGTATGATGCTATAAAAAGAAAGATATTTTCAACTTAGGACTGATTACACATGGGTCACTCCTACAACAGGCCTGCTCAGGCAACCGACTCAATTTTGTCTAGAACAAAAGAATCATTCATTTGACTCCTATAGAAATTGTCACCTGGTGATGAGGATGGATTTGTGTTACTGGCTACAAGTCAATTTTAGTAGAAAAGGACATCTCAGGGCTGAAGAGATGGTTCAGCTTTAAGAGCTGTTGTTTGCCCTCATAGAAGTCTGGAGTTCCATTTCCAACACCCATATCAGAAAGACTGTATTTCAAGCTCCAGGAGATCTGATGCCTCCTTCTGACCTCTGTGGGCCTTTGGTATCCAAGATTTACATTTCGAATCAAGCTGATGTCATATTATGCATTAAGTTTTAATTATTTTTAGTAACATGGTTCTGAGACACCTGACAGTGGTAATTAGTTTTTCTGATTTTGGTTTTAGCCAGGATTAATTATGACAATCTGCTGTGTATTTTACTGATGATGTGATACAATATCTCAAGTAATGATACTTTCTTCAAGATTTCTTATCAATCAATAATTCTCTTGATTTCCAAGCTCAGAACCCCCCTGGATCAGGCAGGCTGAGAAATTTGATCCCTGAGTAGATATGCTCTCATCCCTGCTCAACTTGAAGAACTCTGGAAAGTTGACCAACTTGGTGTGTATGTGTGTGTACATGTGTTCTTTGTGTCTGTGTACATTTGTATGCATGTCCAGAGGCTAATACAGATGTCTTCCTAAATCATTTTCCACCTTATTTTTTGAGACAGAGTCTCTCACTGGACCTGAAGGACATCAATTTCACAAACTAGCTAGCCAGCCATCTCCAGATATCATCCTGTCTTCACCTCCCAGCAGTGGGGAATACAAGGGCACACAGATCTGCTCAGCTTTTATGTGATTACTGGGGATGCAAATGGGTCCTCATGTTTTGTAACAAGGACTTTACCAACTGAACTATCTTACCATCCCCTGAATAACTCTTTAGATTAAGGGATAAGAGGTCTTTAAAGGGGGAAAGGTAGCATAGAAAGGCAAGGGAAATTAAGGGGACATGGGACACAAAAGGAGATTAAAAAAAGAATATTCTTCTGGATCCAGTTTTTGTCTCTCATTGGCTGAGAGTCAAGAATTCTAATACTATTGTACTGTGGAATAATCCCTGTGTACACATTTATTGCTGTGATTGGTTTAAGAAAACAGCTGAGGAATTCTGGGAAGTGGAAGGCTGAGGCGGACAGATGCTGCCAGCCGCCGCCATGAGAAGATGTTAAGATACTGAAAAAACTGGCCGGGTTGTGTACCAGCCAGAGTACATCAGTTTTGAGGAACTGCTCAAGGTCTTCTGGGAGAATTATGACCCGACCCAAGGTATGCACCAAGGCAATGGCTATGGCACCCAGTACCAATCGTCAGTCTATCTCATCTCCAATGCACAGATGGAAGCAGCCCTGAGATCCAAGGAGGAATACCAGAAGGTCCTTTCAAAGAGTGGCTTTGACCCCATCACCACTGACATCCAAGAGGGCCAGGAGTTCAACTGTGCTGAAGACTACCACCAGCAGCACCTGAGCAAGAACCCAGATGGCTACTGTGGCCTTGGGGGCACTGGAGTGTCCTGCACAATGGCCATTAAAAAATAATTTCTCTCCAAGAAGTTGGCCCTGGAGGTTACAGCAAAACCATGGTTGCTGGATGGAGTGGCACTGCTGTGAATCACATCAGTCGATTTCCAAAGAGCGCACATCACACAGAAATTTACATTAATCTGGTTGTCACTGGGGTTTGATTTACCAGAAGTGCTATGACAAGCTGATAAATTATAATTTGTCTTCTGATCAGTCTGGGTGGAGGCTGAGCATGACATTTTAGTGGATCTTTTGGGATCTAAATGGAGATAATGAATGCCCTGTGTCCACTTGCTTGGGCTTGAAGGGATGCTAAGGGTTCAGAAGCAGGGAGGTGGTTGGGAGGGCAGGGGGTACTGGGACTCCTTGGTCTATGCTGACATACCTCACTCCACTCCCCTGCCCTTAGGTGCTTAATTCAGTAATGTCTACAGGCTCCATGAATCATTTGCTGAAACACTTCGCTCCACTGACCCTAGACGTATGTAAGGGGTTTCTCTCCCTCCTCCATCCTCTCTCTGGAAGAAAAAAGACATGAGTGACCTTAATGAATTCTAACATTCTGATTATAGCTATGAAAAAGCTATAAGCAGAATGTTCTAATAAAAATCTTGTTCTAATAAAAATCTACAGTTGGTAATAAAAAAAAAAAGAAAACAGCTGACTGTCTGAAAGCTGAACAGGATAAAGTTAGGTGGGAGAGCCAAACTGAAAATGCTGGGAGGAAGAAGAGCAGAATCTGGAGTCACTAGCACATGCAGAGAGAAGCAAGATGGGCATGCTGTGCTGAGAAAAGGTATCAAGCTATGTGACAAAGCATAGATAAGAAACGGGTTAATTTAAATGTAAAAGTCAGCTAGTAACAAGCCTGAGCTATTGGCTGAGCATCTGTAATTAATATTAAGTCTCTGTGTGATAATTTGGGAGCAGGCTGGTGGAACAGAAAAACTCCTACCTACAAACGCACCCAATGTGGGGCCAGAATTTCCACATAAGACCTGACAAAGCTTAAAAAAGGAGTCTAAACACATAAAAATAGAGTCAAGTGCAGCTTCTTGGTAACCAACTTTTCTCAGGTAGGCTCTGTTTGCTAGCAGCAAGCAGAGATGCAGCTCCTTTAAGAGCTGGCTAGCAGCAAAAACTTGTGTGGCTCTTTTAGGAGGCCCTGATACTAAACACTTATGGGGTTTACGAGCAGTGGGCTAACATACTACTCGGTGACAGTGTGGACCCAAAATCTCTCCGGGGTGGTAAATGTGGCTGGCTTCCACAGGTACCTCTGTCATGAAGCTAGGCTCTCAGGGAACCAAGTAGGCAGAGCCAAACACAAAAGCAGGTGGAGGTCCTAGCCATGCCACTTAGCAGTTTAAAGACTCATGGGGTCAGAAAAAGATTATAGATACACAGTAAAGACAGATCAGATTAAAAAACAAAACAAAACAAAACAAAACAAAAAACCTCTGAATGGGTTACAGTGTGTTTGAAACTATCCATAGGCTTGGGAGAGAGAAAAAGAAGGTATAGACAGTCATAA